GGTGGGCTGAAGCAGAAGGCGTCTTGACCTCAGTACGTTGACTGCCTCTACCAATGGAGATTCCTTGTATCACTGGGAGCTCTGCAGAAAGAAGGCAGCAAGGTAACAGCAGGCGCCCGTACCTCCTGTCCCACGGGTGAGAGGAGCACTCCCCACCTCCCTCTCTGTAACCACCATCATCTGCTGTTGGTGGCAAAGGTCTGCTAGGAGGCAGTTTGTAATTCTCCTCCTGCAAGCAAGCTCCACCTGAGGCAGCTGGTATTCCCTGAAGTCAGCCAGCTGCCTTAGATCTGGCATTTACAGCTGTGTGTTGGCCTATGCTCGATTTGATCATATTGGCTTCACCCCGTGAAAAGCAGGCGACTGGAACAGCCTATCTTCTGCTTGCTGCAGGCAGGTGTGGATCTCGGGCGGCACAACTTCGCCTGGGGCGTAAGGGATTACGCTACAACCACTAATAGCAATTTGTTACAGCCTCTTTCTTTGCCTTCCTCTGCTCTGGTAAAGATGCTCCACAGGAGCCAGCCACCATTGCCACCAAACATCACACCTTCTTCTGTCAACTGCTGCTGGTGCTTTCCCGAGCTGCGTTTTCAGAATCGCAGACACCCCCTCCTCTCAGAGAACTGATGACTCCGTACTTTCCTTGACATCATCCCCTGCCTGGTGGAGCAGGGAGGTTGGCACAACGTCCTCTCAGCACCGGCAGCTCTGTTTGCAGCAGGACATTGTGCTTCAGCTCTCCTGCTGCAGTCGAGCAGGGGGTAGAGGCGTTGGTGAGATGGCCGACTGTAGGGAACACACTGTTTGCTTTGTGATCTGTAAGTACCACGTGCTTTCTCCTGGAAAGCTTTGTGCTCAACACAAGTCGATGAAGAAAGAACTGCATGAAAAAGCAGGCTTTGGTGCTAAAAAAATAAGCAAAGAGAAAAAAGCAACTGCTTTTAATGAAAGGTAACGGATGGGTGATTTTCAGTTTAGCTTCCTGTCACCAGGACACAAAACTCTTGATCACTTGGGCCACCTGACTGGCATCTTCCCCCAACTGTATCATCGATGAGTAAAACACCAGTCAAGCACATCACGTAATGGCTGCCACCGTATTTTTCCAAAGAGGAGAAGTAAATACACGCAGTGAGGGGTAGCGATGAACAAGGCCCCAGTAAGAAACATGAGATTCCATATAAACTCCTAATGGCATCCTGGTTTAAAACTATACGAATCTTGGTTTCGCAGATTGTGGATCAAGGCTGTGCTGGGAAACGGTACTGTGAAAAGTGAAAATGTAGCACGAACTAAAAGACGACAGAAGGGAAACAAGATTGCATAGCTAAAAAGAAACTGTTGATATTTGGAGTTTCATAGGGTACAGGCTCACACAGTTCACACATGATATTTTTATGAACTTTGTCAGCTCTCTAGAAAGAAGTACAAATGTTACGCTGGGCTTCGGAAGAGAGATGAAGTGGACTGGAGGTTCAAATGCAAAACTCCGGACTCTTGGAGGCCGCAAACCGTGTGCTTTCTCTGCGTTCTTTCGAATGACTGCCCCCCAAAATACCCTCCCTACAATTTTCAAGCTAATAAAAATTAATCACATTGGGGAGATGCTGTCAGGAAAACCGAGTTTATGTTACCCATGTCCAGAAAAGAGAAGAAACGATAGTAACAAGACAGTTTCTCATTAAAAGCTCTTTTAAATATGGCAGTAGTTCGTGGGAGCGCTGAAAAAAAATGAGAGAAAGCAAGAATCCCGTTAAAGAGAAGGGGACGTAGCTGAGGACAAGCCCCTCTCTCCTAAGGAGGGAGGCTAGGGTTTAATTTTATTCTAATTGCACGCCTTGTTCTTTCCAGTCCGAGAGGCATCACGCAGGTAGTGAGAGTTACACTCGGAGTTTCGCAAACTTTTTCTGGTAATCTCATCCTTTTCTCACACCCGGGCTTTCTGCCGTTGAAATTTCCTGTGCGCTACCTCCCCGGCCGGGCAGCCCAGGGGCTGGGCAGCTGGGG